TTATTATTATTATTATTATTATTATTATTATTATTATTATTATTATTATTATTAGTATTATTATTAGTATTATTATTAGTATTATTATTAGTATTATTATTAGTATTATTATTAGTATTATTATTATTATTATTATTATTACACACACACACCTGTACAAGTATAAAACCAAATATACCAGTACAGGTTTTACACCCACACACACCTGTACAGGTGTTACACCCGCACCTACAGTGGCAGATCATGTATAAAAGTAGGAAGAGTCTTTGAGAGATGACGTCATCTTGTGTGTTGTTATCGTCCTGCTTCTGTTCACACCATAACATACACCTGGTTCATTAGTCCTGGCTTGTGTAGGTAATAATCTACAATTTACAGCATATTACTTGTTCCTCAAACATGCTCGAGATAGTATCAAGAACCAGCTGCTGCCGCCGTCCTAATTGACCTATTCAACTGATGTCTGAGCTGGTCCACACTCTTACTACATCATAGTCCTTATTTAGCTTTTAATAACAACAAAATTAATGGGACCTTCATTATTCTATAAATATATCTAAATTAATTTTAACACTCAGACGCTCAAGTTGTCCAGTTTTTATTTTATTTTACATTTAAGTCATCTATCTGTTCACTGCCAGTACCTAATATTTATATCTTTATCATCTGCTAACCATATTTCCGTCACAAGAAATCGACGTACAAAAATTTTTCAATATTCTGTCATTAACTCTTTCCTTCCTGGTTTTATTCCCACTCAGACCAGATGATAGATTCAGGTGAACAGTAATACCATCGAGTATCTCACCTGTGATATAATTACCGTGGTATAATTACGGATAACAGCTGATGCGTTGTTATTAATGAGAGGAACATTGTGAGTGCGTGTTTTATGACATGATGTAAGCATGTGGTCGTTATGGGGAGTGTTATAGCCAGAGTGCTTTATGGCTGGTGCTGCGAGATTGGTGTTTTTCCAAAGTCTTTGCCAAAGGAAAATAGATAAACGAGAGAGAGGGAGAGAGAGAGAGAGAGAGAGAGAGAGAGAGAGAGAGAGAGAGAGAGAGAGAGAGAGAAACGCTGGCAGTAATCTTATCCACCACAACAACTGGATAATATTAGATCTAGGAGAATGTGAATCCAATAATTGCATTACCTTCTGTTTATGGTTAACTGCTTCATATATCAGACTAGTATGTGTACTGTATTCTTGTTGTCAGTCCATTGGTAAGATATACCTTATACACATAACGACGTATAACCATTCCTAGCTGGACGTGAGATGCAGGTTAGCGATGTTCATTAGACGCTCAAAGATAATATTCAAAGCAAATTTGTCGACGTTAGTAAGAAGGATGAGATAGTTTGGTCATGTGGTGTAGCAACAAGAGTTAGAGGCGATCAGAGTAGCCTGGAATGAGACGATTGGACGTGGTAGAGTAATGTGAATAGTCGTGTGAAGAATCGTGGTTGAGAGAGAGAGAGAGAGAGAGAGAGAGAGAGAGGCGCAAAATACCAAGCTGTAAGTGGGAAAGACTTGAGACTGAGGAATGTGGATACGATTAAGAAAGAATAAGAAGGAAGAAAGAAGAAGAATTAACTGTTGTGTTGTCATGATCAAAACTTGTAAAGATAAGTGGGGGGGGGGTTAGTTAATTGTTGTGTTCTCGTCAATTTGAACTCATATTTGTTTTTGAAGGCGTGGGATATATAGTCTGTTAGAGCCTCTTGTGCCAGACAACACGAACCTGGGATTTAAAAGATCTGGTGAAGGGATATAGTAATAGTGTCTTTTGTCTATTGTTCTCAAGTTAATAATGACCGGGGAGTTTGTTAGCCAATAGGGATCAGTTAATAAGTACTAGGCAGGTTATCTAAGTTACGAAGTTTGGTAATATAATGACTCTCTGGGGTCAGGACAATAGCTCACCGGACAAAACTCACCGGAAAAAAACTCACTCAACCTAACCCTAACTGGTGAATTTTTGTCCAGTGAGTTTTTGTTAGTGCACCAGACCCTCCAGCACTTGCCACTGAAGGCAGGAGCTGAAGGAATTGTGTGCTAGAGTCTGGTGTTACGAGACGTACTTTATTTTTACAAACTTCTCTCCTACACTCTCAGTAACCCCTGTCTCATTAATTATTAACATCTATCCGCAAATAATATTAAGACTATGAAAATTGGATTAATATTTAAGACATACCAAAGGTAAGAAATCAGGGGTCAGTTATATGATACTCATTATATATACAGTATTATATTTCTTATTGTATAACTGATCAAATCAACATTAATTTTATGACGGTAAATTGATAACATATATTGCATCAGAGGTCAAAGGTCAGGGGAAAATATCCTCATTGTTATGATTATCAGGACAATATAAAGTGCACAGAAATATTTCAGTGGTCCTATTACGAAATCCCTGAATAGAGTGTAAGTGATGATACTGTTGGTGATTACTCTGGCTCAATACAACCTGAGGAAGTTTCATTATGAATTGATTTATACTTTATGATATTGTATTATTATTAAATTTTTATTCTCTTTGTCTTTATGGATATATTGTGCATTAATCTTTAACAACCAAACATCAACAGTGCTAAGAGATACCGTCAGACAGTAGTTTTTGTTTTAACTCTCTCCTTCTTGTGTTAACATCGTTGGTCAGTGAGTCAATTTGGTGACTCATTACTAAAGGTCAGAGGTCCAGTGTTTTATAATAATAAAAATAATAATAATAATAATAATAATAATAATAATAATAATAATAATAATAATAATAATAATAATAATAACAATAACAATAATAACAATTATAACAATAATAACAATAATAAACATGAATTAGTTTTCGAAGACAGTGCTAACACAACGGACCACACCCGTCCTCCACCGAGATACACCGCTACGAAAGTCTACGGATAAGACCATCCATGTTTCACTTACTCATGGCGGGTTACACATACAAGGGCAGCCTGACGTGTGTTGTAGGAAAACACACACACACACACACATACACACACACACACACACACACACAATATTACTACGTCAATTTTTATACTGAAATCATTGTACATGCAATACGTGAATGAAAAGTTATTGAAGATGTATATTACCTCATGGGTGCCTCAGAACATTATATTTCATTCATAACACAGGATTCATCTAACATTTTAGCTGTGAACGACGATACAAGACCTGAGCTATTGTATTAAATGTTTACATGGACTTAGAAGATATGTTGCGAGGATTTTTTTAAACTATTTCCTCGAGCAAACACGGACGTTGATGAAGACCAGCTGGGTAAATAGTGTTGCTCCTGCATCGTGTTTCACCTTGCGTTGCGGCACCTGGGGTCATACCATGGATTTTGTTCAAATTTCATACAAAGGTACTAATTCACATGCTAATTAAGTTCACAATTAATAAAAATCGAGCAATTAGTGTTGATTAATGACCTCTGAAATTATTAAAAATATTTAGAATATTGAAAAACTCAATTACGTTGTGCCAATTAGTATTTAATCGCATTTATATACAGTTCTTAAAAAAATGTAGACTATCTTTACTACATATGCATGTTAGTTTTTATTTTCATAAAAAATGTCGTTTGAAATGAAACATTTTCTTGGTTTAATGGTTGATGCAATGTGCTTGTTTTGAGTTGATATTTTCCTACGTACATATAATACATATAAATTTACTTCATAGACTTTCTTGAGGAACAGTGACGAAAAAATAAATTCTGTGTGTATGTTTTGTTGTGCGTGTGTGTACGTTGTTTTGTGCGTGTATGTGTTTGTGTGTTCATGTGTGCGATGCGCGTGTTTGTATTTGTGTGTGCGTGCGTGTGTATACTTGAGGCCATAACCTCCCCCAACACAAGCGGCTAAGTTGTGTCGCTTCTCATCCAGGCTAAAGTGTCCTTCATCCTCTGGTAAACACTGAACACATTTTCCCGGAAGAGCAACGCTTCCTTCTCTCTCTCTCTCTCTCAGTCCTATTTACAAAAAAATAAAGGGAATATCTCTTTCCGAGAGCAGCGTTCATCTTATTCAACTTTTCCACTTTGGCTCCAAGATCAGAGGAAGGGAGTCCCCATATCTTATAAATAACAAAACAGAGGAACATTACATTATTCCAATGGTGCTTTAACTAACTCTTAGTGAGAGGAAAGGATATACAATGCAAATCAGGTAGAATGACATAAAGAGAGACGAGTATTAACAATTGTAGAAGGTCTGAGAATTTGGAGAGTTATGAAAAGCGTACTGAATGTCAAACAGGTTACTGAGTCTCAATTTCACAGTTTCCCCTGTAGTAAATGGGAAGGAAAAGGTGGAAGGAAACTCTCAGACGTTATTAATCTTGAGAAAATCATAAAACACTGGACTTCTGACCTTTTGTAATGAGTCACCAAATTGCCTCACTGACCAACGATGTTAAGGAGAGAATTAAAAAAAACTACAGTCTGACGATGATGTTTGGTTGTTAAAGAGTAATGCACAATATATCCATATAGACATAGAGAAGAAAAATAAAATAAAAATATAAATATCATAATGTATAAATCTAATCATAATGAAACTTCCTCAGGTCGTAATAAGACCACCGAAATATATATATCTGTGCAACTTTATAGTGTCCTGATAAGCATAACAATGAGGATATTTTCCAATGACCTTTGACCTCTGATGCATTATATGTTTGTTATGAATTTACCGTCATAAAATTAATATTGATTTGAGATATGAGTCATACAGTAATATCATAAATGGAATATATGTTAACCTGTGAAGTCTTCTTTTATATTGTATTCAATAGATATAAATTTTTAGTATGCCCTATTTTGGTTCACTTGTCTCTCAGTGGCTAGCCCCTTAAACAAATCCAGGGAAATTTCTTGTAGTTTACCTGATTTTATTTGTTTTCATTTGTTTTTCCCTCTCTCACACACACACACACACACACACACACACACACACACACACACCTGTATATCATACGTCGGGCTGCCCTTGAATGTGTTAACCGCCATCATGAGTAAGTGAAACCTGGATGGCGTTGTCCGTAGACTTTCATCTTGTTGTATCTGTTCGACGGTCGTGCTCCGCTCTGTCCGTAGCCATTTACAACCTCATTCATGTTTACTATTATTATTATTATTATTATTACTATTATTATTATTATTATTATTATTATTATTATTATTATTATTATTATTATTATTATTATTATTATTATTATTATTATTATTATTATTATTATTATGTATGTACATTATTATTATTTATTATTATTATTATTATTATTATATTTATTATTATTATTATTTATTATTATTATTATTATTATTATTATTATTATTATTATTATTATTATTATTATTATTATTATTATTATTATTATTATTATTATTGTATTATTATTATTATTTATTCTTATTCTATTATTATTATTATTATTATTATTATTGTTATTTATTATTATTATTATTATTATTATTATTATTATTTATTGATGTTTATTAATTACTATTATTATTGGTATTTATTTATTATTATTATTATTATTATTATTATTATTATTATTATTATTATTATTATTATTATTATTATTATTAGTAGTAGTAGTAGTAGTAGTAGTAGTAGTAGTAGTAGTAGTATTAGTAGTAGTATTTGTATTAGTATTATTTTTATTCACGCCTTGATTATTTTATTAACTTAAATTATAGCACACGTTCTTCAATAACCTAGTAGTTAATTCCTTATGTAGCCTCCAGATTCACACAGTATTAGCCCTTATGTTTGATGCAGAGATTTTTGTATGAATTAAAAAAAATAACTATTAGATAAATAAAAGCACATATATTATCTTTAAAACAACGAGATTATTATTTGTTTTCCACTCAAGACGTCAATACATCTTAACTATAAGGACCAGGGATCATCATCAGACGACATTTTGCCTTTTGCTCAGCACCAATCAGAAATCAATTAGTCATTCTCCAGTAAAGACGAGACGATAGGTAATCTGTCTCTTTCTCCAGTAGAGGACATCCAAGAAGCAATTAATCTTTTTGTCCAGGTAATGAATCATAGATAATTGACCAGCGAGAATCATCAACATAAAAAATATGTTAATGAAGGCGTTCCCTAGTTGATGTAAACACCAATACTTAACAAGCTTATCAATACTCGGTGAAGTAGTGTCTCAGTCCTTATTTTTTCTTTATATTACGTATAAGTGTTGACAGGTCATGAGGGAAGAGTGTAAGAAAGAAACACCATCTTATAGGTTTCCTTGCCTCCTATTCTTTGACGTAATCATATGTTTAGGTTCTCAGAATTATAACACTCCTAAAAGTGATCAATTTCATATTAAATTGTTTATATGTCCATTTGTGTCAGGACATGGGAATTACACTTCATTTGTTTGTATGTAAAGGTGGGTTTAAGTATGTGTATCTGTATGTACGTAAATATGTTGATACGTGTGGGTGTAAATGTACGTATTTTCTTTTGTGTTTATTTACAGCTATAGAGACATTATATATACGTAGAATTGGAAGATGTAGAATATGTACACATAATCTCACCGAAAGTAATATGACATTCTACTCTGACGTAACTTCTCTTACAATTTCATTTACTGTCTTCAGAGGGCGAGGCTAGGACTACACGTTAGAGGCAGGGAGGTGTAATTGTTTAATGAGTCGACACGGAAGACCAGAGGTGATTAATGAGCCCAGGGGTCGTGAGGGTGACCTAGGACCCCATAAGCCACGGGGCATAAAGAAGATGGAGGTACTAGATGAAGTAATTTGGCTTAACCTCCGTTTCAAGTGGACAAAAATAAAATAAATTAGTAAGCGAGAGAGGGAGAGAGGAAGGGAAGGAGGGAAGGGTCGCGTGCCCTCAACACCTCCCTTCATCACCTGAAACAGCATTGTATTCATAATTGCATTCATCCTCTTATCTCTTATGTACACTTATGTATATATTTATATATACAGTAGTTATAGTTATAGCTATAGTTATATCATATTAAGCTAAGTATAATTACCGAGTAATGTTAATTTTTAGGCATTCTTCTTTTTGTTTGGGGGGGGGGGGTGGAGGGCTTCGAACTGGCCATAAACGATTATGTACATCATCATAATACATATAAATGAACTGTTTAATTGAAAACCTAATTTGACCTGACATGACCTGACCTGACTTGATCTGACGTAATATCACCTAACTTCCTTGGGGTCTTAAAATGAAACACGGCAAAGTTTGCCGTAAATTACATAATTTCCATTATGATGTAATAACAAAAACAAAACGTTATCCCTATCTGGCAGACGTAATTTGCTTTTCAAAACTTAATCGACAAATCTCCCTATTTAGTGAAACATACTGTATATATACAATACGACGTGGCAAGTGTCTACTATACACAGCGTGGAATCCATGGTGTCATCTATACACAGTGGTACACATAGTGTCTGGCACACACAATCCTCCACCAAGATGCGTTACCATTAACTCTCACTTGCTCTCTTTATCTTTCTTTCACTCTGGATCCCTCTTTCTCTCACTATGAATGTTTCTCTCTCTCTCTCTCTCTCTCTCTCTCTCTCTCTCTCTCTCTCTCTCTCTCTCTCTCTCTCTCTCTCTCTCTCTCTCTCTCTCTCTCTCTCTCTCTCTCTCTCTCTCTCTCTCTCTCTCTCTCTCTCTGTATCCCCGTATGGATCCCTCTCTCTCCCTATCCCTGTTAACTTTTCTATATGACAATCAACAAGCGCTATATCCACCTCTCTCTCTGTCCGCCATGTTGGAAAAATGAATGTTTGTGGTCATAACACAGAAAGTAACAGAATCAAACGTATTATTTTACAAAGCAACGAAACACCAACAGTATTTCACTTTGTCTGTATGGAATAAAACTTATATTTTTGGATGGTCAGGAGAGGGGTTGTAGGGGGGGGGGGTATTGTCTCCTCTATGTGCGGTGGTATTTATGACCAATATCATGTTTTTTATCTCAGTTAGACGATGACGTTGTAAACTACCACAACAACGTACAATACTATTTTTTGTATTATTCTTTCTTCAGTAGACTATGTTAGCTGTAGGGAAGAGGACCAAGTGTAGAGGTGCACCTGTTAACGTCATCCTGGAGAAGATTATTTGTTCACACTCTCAGGATGGCGACTGGTAACACTGCATGTAAGGTCGAACGGTCGGAAGTCACTCTAGGAAAAAGGTCGTAGGTACAGCCTTAGGATGCTGAGTAGTTACACTAAAAGTAAAGTCAAAGATAAGCCTTTTAAGAAGGTCAAAGGTCACGGAGGGTCACCTACCATGTTATGCCTTATATTTTGTTATTGTTAAACGTTTATTTGTTCAAAATGTACCTGCTGTTGTGTAATATCTGTTAACTTCAGATGTGTTAACAATGGACCGTTAAGGCCAGAGCTGATAATGACGTACTGTAGAAATAATTCCAATTAAATCAAATTCATACGAAGAAGTCCTTGACATACGCTGACCATACCTAACCACGCTTAATATACTGTACACTAGGTATTGGTCACACTTTACCTGATCTAAGGTGACCCAGGGTAACTTTGGTCATATGTAAAGGTAGTTTTTCAATGTAATAAATAACGTCACGTTGCAGTCAGGCGCCACATAATTAAGCTGGTAACTTTGCGGATATTGGTGATTTTTATCAAATAAGCATAACTCTTTGAGCCTCACTCACCTGCTCATCAAAATGCATAGAATTTTCACACTGAATAAACTTTCAAAATTATAACACACGACCAACACTGATTTTATCCCAGTGAATATTGTATTTTGTCACTCACGTGTCACATGGCTGGTGGCTCAAACTCTGCTTATTATAATTGAACATAATATATGACACCATATATGACCGCTGAATATTCAACTTAATAATGTGCACATGAAAGTAGTTACTAATTATGCTTGTTTTCAATTAGTAAATCTTATGCGAAAATAAGAACTTAGGTAATATAAATTGCCTTGACGTAGTAACAGTTGAATTATGGAACAAGTAGAAACGTGTTAAACCAGCTGTGTGCGTGGACCTGTAGGTTATGAAACAAGTAAAAACGTTTTAAACTATCTGATTTTTTTTAAACCAGCTGAGTTATGGAACAAGAACATACAAAAGCAACAATATTAGAACCATCTAGGTAATGGAACACGCAGTAAGTAACATGTAAAACTTGATGAATCGCAGGACCTAACTGGTACATGGAACAGAATATTCAGGTAACTTCCCCAGCCATTACCTAAAGGTGAGCCGCCACAGGTAAGGTAAGAGGCCCAAGTAGAGCTATGAAATAACATAAACTTGTGAATAATGTATGAAGAAACGAGAAGGTCATCTTCCTACACCCTCTTCCACACACTACATGTAAATCATATTTCAGTACCAAGAATAAAACCTTTCTGTAATGCGTCTCCACCACACCGCTCCACCGCTCCACACCAGACCACCACACACCACCACACCACACCACACCACACCACACCACACCACACCACCCTGTACCACCGCACCACCACACCACACCACACACCATAAGGCAAGGCGGTAGGTAGTGTCAAGAGAACACACGAGGGGCGGCGTCTTAACCAAAGTGATGTTGACTTAGGCTTCGGTAACAAGATCATGGATGATGAGGCAAGTGCATACCTGACAATGGTTCATTACCTCCACCTGCCCTCCTCCCTCTGGACCCTGAGAGCCTCTAGGGTGGCGATGGTGGTGGTGATGGCGGTGGCGATGGTGGTGGTGGTGGTGGTGGGTGGCGATGGTGGTGGTGGGTGGCTGGCGATGTGGTGGTGGTGGTCGTGGCGGTGGTGGTGATGACGGTGGCGGTGGTGGTGATGACGGTGGCGGTGGTGGTGATGACGGTGGCGGTGGTGGTGGTGATGGCGGTGGCGATGGTGGTGGTGTGGTGGCGGTGGCGATGGGTGATGACGGTGGCGGTGGTGGTGGTGATGGCGGTGGCGA